GGAGTCTACTGCCGTTATGGCGCATAACAAGTTGACACTTCGTAATACTTAATTGTGTGCAAGGAAATGGGCTAAAAGAAAGATGGGCTAAAAGAAAGTTGGGCTACAAGAAAGTTGGGTTACAAGAAAGTTGGGCTACAAGAAAGTTAGGTTACAAGAAAGTTGGGCTAAAAGAAAGTTGGGCTACAAGAAAGTTGGGCTACAAGAAATTTGGGCTACAAGAAAGTTGGGTTACAAGAAAGTTGGGCTACAAGAAAGTTGGGTTACAAGAAAGTTGGGCTACAAGAAAGTTGGGCAACAAAAAAGTTGGGCAACAAGAAAATTGGGCTACAAGAAAGTTGGGTTACAAGAAAGTTGGGCTACAAGAAAGTTGGGTTACAAGAAAGTTGGGTTACAAGAAAGTTGGGCAACAAAAATTTGGGCAACAAGAAAGTTGGGCTACAAGAAAGTTGGGTTACAAGAAAGTTGGGCTACAAGAAAGTTGGGCTACAAGAAAGTTGGGCTACAAGAAATTTGTGCTACAAGAAAGTTGGGTTACAAGAAAGTTGGGCTTCAAGAAAGGTGGACTCCCAAGAAAGTTGGGCTACAAGAAAGTTGGGCTAGAATAAAAGTTGGGCTACAAGAAAGTTGGGCTACAAAAACGTTGGGCTACAAGAAAGTTTGGCAACAAGAAAGTTGGATAACAAGAAAGTTGAAATAATAGAAAGTTGGACTCCCAAGAAATTTGGACTACAAGAAACAGGGCTACACTAAAGTTGGGCTTCCAAGAAAGTTGGGCTAAAAGAAAGTTGGGCTACAAGAAAGCTGGGCTACAAAATATTTGCCAGAAGAAAGTTGGGGTACAAGAAATTTCAGCTGCAAGAAAGTTGGGCAAAAAAAAAGTTGTGCTACAGGAAAGTTGGGCTACAAGAAAGTTGGGCAACAAGAAAGTTGGGCTACAGGAAAGTTGGGCTACAACAAAGTTAGGCAACAAGAAAGTTGAGCTCTCAGTGAACACCAGCAAATGCGAGCACGAACTTACGTCTGTTGATTCCATCATCTTGAAAAACGACAAATGGTGAAAGCTTGATTTCATTCACAATTTGTTCTTTAGCAAGTATGATGCTTAATTTACGAAATTTTTAATAACACACAACATATTCTGCATACTTCAATAATCTTTTTTTTCTTTCTTCAAAAATCAGCTCGGAAAACAAACGCTCGCTAAAACCCGTAATTTCTCAGGAAAGGGCTGTATCAGAATAAATAATACACATAAAGAAAAGTAAAATAAATCAATCCAAAGAATCGCTATCGCCTTCGTGGTTTAAATAAAATACCAACAAACTAACAAAATAGCATTTCTAGATTACCCTTACTTTAATAGTTATTTTAATTCTATGCAATTGTTCAAATTTCTAGACATCATTTAAAACCTATATTGAATATATTTGTTTGCTTAGGTCAACAATTGGACTGAAATAGTGGACTCTCACTCGTGGACGTTATGGGAAATAATTCATGCTCGAGTTGATGAAAAACACGATAACATAAGTTATATGCTTAAACATACACCTTTTGTTGGATTCTAATATGTGCTAATTTTACTATTTTAAGCACGAAGCTAGGTTGAATTAAATTTTAAAAACAAAAAATATCCTGAGGAATTTTATGAGTTTGTTGATAGAAATTAAAATAACATATAGCGTAAGTGAAAACTTTTCGCATTGTTGTTTTTATCTTGTTTATCTTGTATTAACGTTTTGGTTTTGTTGGCTTCAGAGGCGAAGCGACGGGGGGTGGGGTGGGGAGGGTTGGGATGGGGGGAGGGGCATATGTTCCCGGGTGCCGACCCTAGGTTCGCCAAATTAAGCTCCTTTTAGGTGCTATTTTGAATTTTAAATATAAAAAAAAAATATATGAAAGTTGAAAGTGTGTTTCCGGGCGCCAGGAGGGGTTGCTGCGCCTCTGGTTGGCTTGATGACACTTTGCTTAATGTAGGTCATTTTGATGACGTGTCGGTTTTCACCCTTGTTTGCTTCACTAAAATATCAATATATGAATAAGTAGAATTTTTTGTGTTTGAAATAAACGGAATTTACTCTGACTAACAAGTATTATTAATTAAACCGTCTTTAAAATGTATTCGTGTTTAATAATAGCTAAAACAGCATAAATCGTGTTGATAATTGAGATTGACAATATATTAAGATTACAAACGCAATTAAATGTATGTATGCAATATGTGATTATAAACAAAGGCAAATTTTAGATTTTATCTTTTGGCTGTTTTTTTAAAACAGATGCTATTTTGCTACTTTGATTTCTAATGTATTTATATTATTTTATCAATAACCCCCCCCCCCCCAACATTGAATAAAAACGTAATTCAAATTAAAATGTAAATAAGTCTTGAGAACAAAGACATTGTATCGATATATTTTGTTGTTGTATATTAGTTTGTATATTACGGAAGATCCACTGACCCGGATTCGAACTCGATACTTTCGGGTTAGTAGTCTAGCTCTATACCGCTAGACCAAGACTTCCTACCTTCTTAGATTTAGATTAATATATACATTCTAATCTGTTTAAATTGCACATCACAAATCATCACACAGCATATATTAGTTTAAGCTTCGTGTCCACACAAAATATGCTACATATGAATTATGTTCACCTTCTGCTGTGAGATAAGTGAAACATTTTATTAAAACTCTAACCTGATACACAGGGACCACACATGGTACACGATAAATATCTATTTTTGTTATATCAATTTTTGTTAGCTCGACAATATCATTGTCACGGCTCATTTGTCGGTTAGATTAGAATCTATATGTGTATCATTCTCTTCATGGGGACCATGCAGGACAAGATGTAGACGCACGCCGTTACTCCCCGCTCTCCAGGCAAATCGCTACCACCCCCACTCCCACAAATCTGGTGAGCTTTGGTTCAAGACGAATGTTTACAATCGTAGAGCCGGGTTAGTGACGGCTATTATGGGCAGATCATTTAGTATTAAATTATTTGTAAACGGCTGCTTACACTGGGGGGGGGGGGGGGGGGTGAGGGGGTAATGTTAAATTCACAAATTATGAATTGCTGATAAGCTGAAAATAAAACAACTAGATGGCGGCGTATGCTACGTCGCGGGTCAGCTCGTAGGTTTAAATAGTCTAGAACTTAGGGGATAGTGCGTGCGTAAGTTCAGTTAACCTCGGGATGTTTTGTGTATTGTTATACCAAGGTTGTAAGCTGGTAAAATGCGGAGTGAACGATTGTTTTTTTTTTGGTAGCGAGTAGCAGAGAGTAGGCTACATTGATGTGTGGATAAAGGTGAACTGAAGCTACATGAACTATGTCTTTGTTCAGATGATTGGAAGCAAGTCGCTACAACTGACGGTCAGTAGGAGGAGAAGGTAAATCTACTTTAATAACCATCTCGCTGAGGGGGTGGGGGGTGGGGGTGGGGGTGGGGGTGGGGGAATGAATGCTAAATATGGGAACGCTCTTATTTCCGATGACACTAGCGATACCAACAAGTCCGATCATGAAATATAACCTGAACTTTAATTATCAACCACTAATACTAGATCTACACAAGAAATATAAAACCACGTCCCTTTCCTACTATAGCAAAAAAAAAACCAACTGTATCTTCAGTATTGTGTCCTTCGTCATCGCCATCGTTGTCGCATCAGACTCACTATACATTTTCTATTAAACAAATAAACAAGTTCACATACTCTCGAACCAAATCGTCTATCGTATTAATTTCTACCAGTCTAGACCAGGGGTCGGCAACCCACGGCTCGCGAGTCGCATACGGTTCTTTTGTTGTCACGATGCGGCTCTCCGGCTCCTTGCACAAATATTAATAGTTATATTATTTTATTTTCAAAACTCATAACAGATATTATACTGTAAGGATACACACGTTTAAACAGGATAAAAACACTCCGCCCTGTGACAACAATTCCGTGCTTGTCACTGCCCAAGTGCCGACTTTTTCGAATATCGTTAATTGGGGAATGTTAATTTAGAATGCATTTCCCTATCCGTCAGTAATCATTAATTTGACGTGAGTGACGTAGTTTTTGTTAGCTTCCTACTGTTGAGCCGGTGTATAGGACGGTGGGGTATAAGTTTACCATGGGCTCTGTGGGGTGGAAGATAAGCCTAGTGAGAACCAAATTCAGAGGTGACAGAAACACGGTAATCGATATCCAAACCAGTTAGTCGGAGGTTGCCGTGATAAAGCCTGCCTGGCTAATGGGAGACACGTCTTGAGCCGGTGTTATCCGTAAAAAAAAAAAAAAAAATTAACAGCTTCTAAAGTGGATTGGCGTAGTCCTATATTTTTAATTTTTGATTGCTAATTTCATGATTCTGGCGAAACAAGTGTATGTTTTATATGAATAAATATTATTTCATATTTAAACCTATTTATTTTAAATAACAAATCGAATTTCTTTACCTAATCCTAATCAAATGATAAAATATTGAAATAAAAATAACAGTGGCTCTTTAAAAACCGGGATATTGTCAACATTTTAACTTTTGGCTTCTCCGTCTCAAAAGGTTGCCGACCCCTGGTCTAGACTTATTTCTATCCATCTGCGGTATGATTCTCTCTTATTATGGTTGAGATGTATAAGGTATGAATCGGATAACATGACGTCATGGTTGCAGGAGGTATGTTAGTTCCAATGCTGACATTTAAGAAAGAGGTCGGTAAGATGGTGTGGCAATCCCGAGTGTTAGGGAGATGGACTACTAACCTGAATCTTTCAAGTTCGTTGTGGGAATTCTTGAGTCAACAAGGGAAAGTATCCGCCAGCTCTGATGGGTACTGTCAGGGGTACTGTCATGATACTGACATAAGTACTGACATGGGTACTGAAATGGATAACGACATGACATTGGTCCTGACATGACATGGGTACTGACATAAGTACCGACATGGGTAATGACATGGGTACTGACATGACATGGGTACTGACATAAGTAACGACATGGGTAATGACATAAGTAACGACATGGGTAATGACATAAGTAACGACATGGGTACTGACATAAGTAACGACATGGGTAATGACATAAGTAACGACATGGGTACTGACATAAGTAACGACATGGGTAATGACATAAGTAACGACATGGGTAATGACATAAGTAACGACATGGGTACTGACATAAGTAACGACATGGGTACTGACATAAGTAACGACATGGGTACTGACATAAGTAACGACATGGGTAATGACATAAGTAACGACATGGGTAATGACATAAGTAACGACATGGGTAATGACATAAGTAACGACATGGGTAATGACATAAGTAACGACATGGGTAATGACATAAGTAACGACATGGGTACTGACATAAGTAACGACATGGGTAATGACATAAGTAACGACATGGGTACTGACATAAGTAACGACATGGGTACTGACATAAGTAACGACATGGGTACTGACATAAGTAACGACATGGGTAATGACATAAGTAACGACATGGGTACTGACATAAGTAACGACATGGGTACTGACATAAGTAACGACATGGGTAATGACATAAGTAACGACATGGGTACTGACATGGGTAATGACATGGGTACTGACATAAGTAACGACATGGGTAATGACATAAGTAACGACATGGGTAATGACATAAGTAACGACATGGGTAATGACATAAGTAACGACATGGGTACTGACATAAGTAACGACATGGGTACTGACATAAGTAACGACATGGGTAATGACATAAGTAACGACATGGGTAATGACATAAGTAACGACATGGGTAATGACACAAGTAACGACATGGGTAATGACATAAGTAACGACATGGGTAATGACATAAGTAACGACATGGGTAATGACATAAGTAACGACATGGGTAATGACATAAGTAACGACATGGGTAATGACATAAGTAACGACATGGGTAATGACATAAGTAACGACATGAGTACTGACATAAGTAACGACATGGGTAATGACATAAGTAACGACATGGGTAATGACATAAGTAACGACATGGGTAATGACATAAGTAACGACATGGGTAATGACATAAGTAACGACATGGGTAATGACATAAGTAACGACATGGGTAATGACATAAGTAACGACATGGGTAATGACATAAGTAACGACATGGGTAATGACATAAGTAACGACATGGGTACTGACATAAGTAACGACATGGGTAATGACATAAGTAACGACATGGGTACTGACATAAGTAACGACATGGGTACTGACATAAGTAACGACATGGGTAATGACATAAGTAACGACATGGGTACTGACATAAGTAACGACATGGGTACTGACATAAGTAACGACATGGGTACTGACATAAGTAACGACATGGGTAATGACATAAGTAACGACATGGGTACTGACATGGGTAATGACATGGGTACTGACATAAGTAACGACATGGGTACTGACATAAGTAACGACATGGGTAATGACATAAGTAACGACATGGGTACTGACATAAGTAACGACATGGGTACTGACATAAGTAACGACATGGGTACTGACATAAGTAACGACATGGGTAATGACATAAGTAACGACATGGGTACTGACATGGGTAATGACATGGGTACTGACATGGGTACGGACATGGGTACTGACATGGGTAATGACTTGGGTACTGACATTTGTTGTGGAAAGTAAAATTGGCTAGGCATAGCACTGACCACATTAGCCCGTTAATGCCGATGTCTCAGAAACAGATGAACTCTACTTCATCAGCACAACGAAGCACCCATTCCAAAACATTACCTTACTCTTTACATTTTACGCTTGTTCCAAACAATGCTATAGCCAGGCCGGTCCTGAGACGGTGGTTAGCCCTCATTACTGTACGGTTCGTTCTAAAATTATTTCCTAACAGACACGAGCAACACCAGCTGAAATCAAATCCCAGCATTGACACACGGCGTATGATGCTATGTCGAGGTCAAATTGTTTATTTCATCCTTACTATGGTTTGAGGTGTGTTGAGATGACACAGTTTTATTTTCTAGATACCATGAACTGTGAAATGTCTACTTAATGCTTTATTATGTCGACTTCACAAAAATCCGATTACATTAGACAAGTTATTAAACACATAGCGATTATCTAGAATTGTTGTTGTTCGGGAAAATAGACATCACTACAGCAAACTTTGAATTGAACTGTTAGAGGATTGTTGATCGTGTTTCAGCATAATTCGAAGGTAGCTCTTTACTGATAAAAAAACGTAGGATTTGTAATTATTCTCAATATTTATTATAAATATTTAGATAATAGCTACAACGAACAAAGCGTCTCTCTCTCTCTCTCGCTCGCTCTCTCTATTTTCTCTCTCTCTCTATCTCTCTCTGTTTCTATCTCTCCTTTCTCTCTCCTGATAAATTAGTCTAAGTAATAAATACCACATAAAAATAAAATAAAATTAAGGGAATAGGCTTTTATTATATTCACAAATCACATACCAATCAATAATGAGAAAATCCACTAAAAAATAAGAAAATATACATTTTGTTTGCTGTAGGTAGACTAACTAAAGTTATAAGCTGATATAACTAAAGAAGGGATTTTTAAAAATTGTATTTCAGGTTTAGACTTTATAAACTTCATGGAATATTATCATCTAAAGTGTTTTTAAAATGGGTTGTTTATATAAACAATAAAGAGATTATTATTTAACAGTTTAGGTGCATGTTTTTTTATGAATAGTGACGTATATAGCGGATAAGACATTTTGAATTCCTATGTTTTTAACATGCATCTCTTTTCTGTAGCACGTAATAGTTTCACTTTTTTTCTTAACTGTTAAAAAATGTTAAAAATCTGGAGCACTGATATATTCTAATCATAGGTATAACATCCATTGAAAAAATAGTTAATTAAATTTCAATTTGCATAGAATGAAACCCATGCCACGAATTGTCTCCCTGTATTTACTGCTCATCTTGTAGTAGACCAGGATGTTGACGCTAGAACACACAGCCTCCATCAGGTAGGCAAAACTGTAGCACAACAAAGCCAGATCAAAGTAGATTCCACCGTTACCCAGCCCAGAAACCTGACTAACAGCAGTCAGGATTGCTGACTGAGGAATGAGGCAGACGATAAAGATGACAGAGACGACAGTCAACATCAGGACAACTTTTTTCTCCTTGTTAGACACGAACTTCTCTTTGTTCGTGTTTTGGTGTGAAACAGAATTTAGCCATTCTGATCTAGATTTTAGTTTTATGGCGATGATAATGTTTGAAAATATAATCGTGAAAAATGTAAAATACGGAATAAAAACATCAGTAACGAAATAGGAAATACTAAAAATGTTGTAGGGGTTTTGCCGAAAATGAGAAGCAATTATAGATTTATTTAACTGGGGAATAAACATCCAATCAAAATATACAACGTAATACACAGGGAAAAGATCTAACACCATGATAAAGAAGATACAAATATTGACAAGAAGGGAAAATCTTTTGGTGACAATTTGTTTAACTTTAAGGGGCACCAAAACACACAGACATCTCTCACACGACGCGAAGGCTGTGATCAACCCACACACACGGATGAAATAATTGTGTGGGAAAAATGCCAACATTGATATAAAATCTGTTTGTAGAATCGGTAGGTCAGCTTTCAGAAACCAGGGGTTTAACATCTCGTTAAATATCAACACAGTGAGCAACGCCCCGATATCACTGACAGCCAGAGCAGTTAAAGTTATATTGACGCTGTCCTCATAGCCCTGCTTGTAAAAGACAATGATGTTGATGATGTTTCCGAAAATTCCAAAAACCGTAATGATATTTCCACAAACTGTGTTGTTGAAAGTTACAAAAAAATCCCATATTAAGGGATGAATCCAAATTGACACTGATAATGATGTTTCTACCTTCATTCCATCCCCTAAACTGCTTGCATTCGTTGTGTTTTGAACGAAGTTTCCTTGCATAGTTATTTCTATCATTTTTGTAAAAATAGTTATATAACTAGCAAGAAACTTTTCATTACTCTATTAGATGGGTGGTTTGATAAATGAATATATCTATTCTTAACACATTTTAACACACTTTTAACAAATCCACGGGGTTTTGTTTTAATGAATCAAATGTTTGCTTTTTATTTAATCTAAATATAATTATGAATTGAATCAATAAACGTCTGTGCACGTTTTTAATTAACTTATTTCTCATTGCCTTATTTAAACAAACCTACTGTCATGTGATTTCAGATTTCGATTTTTTCAAAATTATATGATACGTAGTAAACGAATTTAAGGACGATTAAATAAATTAAAATTGATTAAAGCCTAATAATTACTTTACTGTAATTATCGTTATGAATCCAAGTAAACACTCTATTGCAATTTTCATGGGTCATATAATTAACACTAATGATTTTGCTTTTTAAAATAAATGACTGTAATTTTGAAATGATATAAGACTAATTCGTTACTTGAATATAATTTGTTTATTATATTTATGCATTTAGACGTAATTAGGGAGAATTTTAAAATAATTAAATAATTAAATAATTATTTTCGCAGCGAAATTCTCAACGGTGTTTTAGTTTAATCTTTTATACAAATTACATACCGTATTTACTAACTAGACCATTTTTTGTCATATTAGAAAATCATTTTAAAGAATGCTTTCCGTTTCTAAATTTAAAATAGTTAATCTTTTATTACTTACTTGGAGTTATTCTTTTTCTCCTTTTTCCGTTATTCATATTTATTAGTTCGCATCATTTGTTTAATGTAATTGCAATGTATATTTTGTATGGCTGTAATATGAACTCTAAGTCCCTAGATAGACACATTGCAAGTAGATCATAATTTTAAATGGTGTTTTTTTTTAGTTTGCGTGGTCATGGTTGCTAAACCAGAAACTCTTGAGATCGAATCCCCAGGCAGATGAGAATCGATGGCTGTGGATAACTTCTCTTCAAGGAGAGACAACTCTAAAATCGTACAACTGCTGCCCTGTAGTTTGTTCTTGGATCCAAAAAGAAAAGCAGGCTGAGAACGGAGTCAACTGCCGTTATGGCGCATAACAAGTTGACACATCGTAATACTTAATTGTGTGCAAGGAAATGGGCTAAAAGAAAGTTGGACTAAAAGAAAGTTGGGCTACAAGAAAGTTGGGCTACAAGAAAGTTGGGCCACAAGAAAGTTGGGCTACGAGAAAGTTGGGCTACACGAAAGTTGGGCTCCGAGAAAGTTGGATAACAAGAAAGTTGGGCTACAAAAAAGTTGGAATTCCAAGAAGGTTGGGTTACTAGAAAGTTGGGCTTCAAGAAAGTTGGGCTACAAGAAAGTTGGGCTTCCAAGAAAGTTGGGCTACAAGAAAGTTGGGCTTCCAAGAAGGTTGGGTTACTAGAAAGTTGGGCTACAAGAAAGTTGAACTACAAGAAAGTTGGGCTACAAGAAAGTTGGGCTACAAGAAAGTTGGGCTACAAGAAAGTTGGGCTACAAGAAAATTGGGCTACAAGAAAGTTGAGCTCTCAGTGGACACCAGCAACTACGAGCACGAACTTACGTCTATTGATTCCATCATCTTGAAAAACGACAAATGGTGAAAGCTTGATTTTATTCACAATTTGTTCTTCAGCAAGTATGATGCTTACTTTACGAAATGTTTAATAACACACAACATATTCTGCATACTTCAATAATCTTTTTTTTCTTTCTTCAAAAATTAGCTCGGAAAACAAACGCTCGCTAAAACCCGTAATTTCTCAGGAAAGGGCTGTATCAGAATAAATAATACACATAAAGAAAAGTAAAATAAATCAATCCAAAGAATCTCTATCGCCTTCGTGGTTTAAATAAAATACCACCAAACTAACAAAATAGCATTTCTAGATTACCCTTACTTTAATAGTTATTTTTAAATATATGCAAATGTTCAAATTTCTAGACATCATTTAAAACCTATATTGAATATATTTGTTTGCATCAGTCAACAAGGGGACTGAATTAGTGGACTCTCACTCGTGGATGTTATGGGAAATAACTCATGCTCGAGTTAATCGAAAACACGATCACCTAAGTTATATTCTAAAACATACACCTTTTGTTGGATTCTCATATGTGCTAATTTTACTATTTTAGGCACGTAGCTAGGTTGAATTAAATTTTAAAAACAAAAAATACCTTGAGGAGTTTTAAGCGTTTGTTGGTAGAAATTAAAATAACATATAGCGTAAGTGAAAACTTTTCGCATTGTTGTTTTTATCTTGTTTATCTTGTATTAACGTTTTGGTTTTGTTGGCTTGAGAAGCGAAGCGACGGGGGGTGGGGTGGGGAGGGTTGGGATGGGGGGAGGGGCATATGTCCCCGGGTGCCGACCCTAGGTTCGCCAAATTAAGCTCATTTTAGGTGCTATTTTGAATTTTAAATATAAAAAAAATATATATGAAACTTGAAAGTTTGTCCCCGGGCGTCAGGAGGGGTTGCTACCCCCCTGGTTGGCTTGATGACACTTTGCTTAATGTAGGTCATTTTGATGACGTGTTGGTTTTCATCCTTGTTTGCTTCACTAATAAATCAGTATATGAATAAGTAGAACTATTTTTGTTTGAAATAAACGGAATATACTTTGACTAACTAGTATTATTAATTAAACCGTCTTTAAAATGTATTCGTGTTTAATAATAGCTAAAACGGCATAAATCGTGTTGATAATTGAGATTGATAATATATTAAGATTATAAACGCAATTAAATGTCTGTATGCAATATGTGATTATAAACAAAGGCAAATTTTAGATTTATCTTTTAGCTGTTTTTTTTAAAACAGATGATGTTTTACTACTTTGATTTCTAATGTATTTATATTATTTTATCAATAAAATACCCCCCGAACATTGAATAAAAACGTAATTCAAATTAAAATAAGTCTTGAGAACAAAGACATTGTATCGATATATTTTGTTGTTGTATATTAGTTTGTATATTACGGAAGATACACTGACCCGGATTCGAACTCGATTCTTTCGGGTTAGTAGTCTAGCTCTATACCGCTAGACCAAGACTTCCTACCTTCTTAGATTTAGATTAATATATACATTCTAATCTGTTTTAATTGCACATCACAAACCATCACACAGCATATATTAGTTTAAGCTTCGTGTCAACAAAAAATATGCTTCATATGAATTATGTTCATTTTCTGATGTGAGATAAGTGAAACATTTAATTAAAACTCTAACCTGATATACAGGGACCAACACATGCTACACGATAAATATCTACTTTTGTTATATCAATTTTGTTAGCTCGACAATATCATTGTTACGGCTCATTTGTCGGTTAGATTAGAATCTATATGTGTATCATTCTCTTCATGGGGACCATGCAGGACAAGATGTAGACGCACCCCGTTACTCCCCCGCTCTCCAGGCAAATCGCTACCACCCCCAACCCCACAAATCTGGTGAGCTTTGGTTCAAGACGAATGTTTACAATCGTAGAGCCGGGTTAGTGACGGCTATTATGGGCAGATCATTTAGTATTAAATTACTTGTAAACGGCTGCTTACACTGGGGTGGGGGCGTGAGGGGGTAGTGTTAAATTCACAAATTATGAATTGCTGATAAGCTGAAAATAAAACAACTAGATGGCGGCGTATGCTACGTCGCGGGTCAGCTCGTAGGTTTAAATAGTCTAGAACTTAGGAGATAGTACGTGTGTGATTTCAGTTAACCTCGGGTTGTTTTGTGTATTGTTATACCAAGGTTGTAAGCTGGTATAAATGCGGAGTGAACGATTGTTTTTTTTTGGTAGCGAGTAGCAGAGAGTAGGCTACATTGATGTGTGGATAAAGGTGAACTGAAGCTACATGAACAATGTCATTGTGGAGATGATTGGAAGCAAGTCGCTACAACTGACGGTCAGTATGAGGAGAAGGAAAATCTACTTCTACTTTAATAATCATCTCTCTGAGGGGGGGGGTGTGGGTGGGTGTGGGTGGGGGTGGGGGTGGGGGAATGAATGCTGAATAATGGAACGCTCTTATTTTCGACGACACTAACGATACCAACAAGTCCGATCATGAAATATAACCTGAACCTTAATTATCATCCACTAATACTAGATCTACACAAGTATAAAACAACGTCCGTTTCCTACAATGGCAAAACCCCCAACTGTCTCTTCAGTCTTATGTCCTTCGTCATCACTATCATTGTTGCGTCACACTAATGTTACACATATTCTATTATTAAACAAATAAACAAGCCCATATACTCCCGAACCAAATCGTCTATCGTATTAATTTCTACCAGTCTAGACTTAGTTCTATCCATCTACGCTATGATTCTCCCTTATTATGGTTGAGATGTATAACGTATGAATCGGATAACATGACGTCATGGTTGAGGAGGTATGTTAGTTCCAATGCTGACATTTAAGAAAGAGGTCGGTAAGATGGTGTGGCAATCCCGAGTGGTAGGGAGATGGACTACTAACCTGAATCTTTCAAGTTCGCTGTGGGAATTCTTGAGTCAACAAGGGAAAGTATCCGCCAGCTCTGATGGGTACTGTCAGGGGTACTGTCATGATACTGACATGGGTACCGACATGGGTACCGACATGGGTACTGACATGACATGGGTACTGACATGGGTACTGACATGACATGGGTACTGACATGACATGGGTACTGACATGAGTACTGACATGGGTACCGACATGGGTACTGACATGGGTACTGACATGGGTACTGACATGGGTACTGACATGTGTACTGACATGGGTACCGACATGGGTACTGACATAGGTACTGTCAGGGGTACTGTCATGATACTGACATGGGTACCGACATGGGTACTGACATGACATGGGTACTGACATGACATGGGTACTGACATAGGTACTGACATGAGTACTAACATGGGTACTGACATGGGTACCGACATGGGTACTGACATGGGTACTGACATGGGTACTGACATGGGTACTGACATGGGTACTGACATGTGTACTGACATGACATGGTACTGACATGTGTAATGACATGTGTACTGACATGACATGGTACTGACATGGCATGGGTACTGACATGGGTACTGACATGGGTACTGACATGGGTACTGACATGACATGGGTACTGACATGGGTACTGACATGGGTACTGACATGGGTACTGACATGGGTACTGACATGACATGGGTACTGACATGACATGGGTACTGACATAGGTACTGACATGAGTACTGACATGGGTACTGACATGGGTACTGACATGACATGGTACTGACATGACATGGGTACTGACATAGGTACTGACATGAGTACTGACATGAGTACTGACATGGGTACTGACATGACATGGTACTGACATGACATGGGTACTGACATAGGTACTGACATGAGTACTGACATGGGTACTGACATGGGTACTGACATGACATGGTACTGACATGTGTAATGACATGGGTACTAACATGGGTATTGACATGACATCGGTACTGACATGGCATGGGTACTGACATGGGTACTGACATGAGTACTAACATGGGTACTGACATGGGTACTGACATGAGTACTAACATGGGTACTGACATGGGTACCGACAGGGGTACTGACATGGGTTCTGACATGACATGGGTACCGACATGGGTACCGACAGGGGTACTGACATGACATGGTACTGACACGACATGGGTACTGACATAGGTACTGACATGAGTACTAACATGGGTACTGACATGGGTACTGACATGGGTACTGACATGGGTACTGACATGGGTACTGACATGGGTACTGACATGTATACTGACATGACATGGTACTGACATGTGTAATGACATGTGTACTGACATGACATGGTACTGACATGGCATGGGTACTGACATGGGTACTGACATGAGTACTGACATGGGTACTGACATGTGTACTGACATGACATGGTACTGACATGTGTAATGACATGGGTACTAACATGGGTATTGACATGACATGAGTACTGACATGGGTACTGACATGACATGGGTACTGACATGGCATGGGTACTGACATGGGTACTGACATGAGTACTAACATGGGTACTGACATGGGTACTGACATGAGTACTAACATGGGTACTGACATGGGTACCGACAGGGGTACTGACATGGGTTCTGACATGACATGGGTACCGACATGACATGGGTACTGACATAGGTACTGACATGAGTACTGACATGGGTACTGACATGGGTACTGACATGACATGGTACTGACATGACATGGGTACTGACATAGGTACTGACATGAGTACTGACATGGGTACTGACATGGGTACTGACATGACATGGTACTGACATGTGTAATGACATGGGTACTAACATGGGTATTGACATGACATGGGTACTGACATGGGTACTGACATGACATGGGTACTGACATGGCATGGGTACTGACATGGGTACTGACATGAGTACTAACATGGGTACTGACATGGGTTCTGACATGACATGGGTACCGACATGGGTACCGACAGGGGTACTGACATGACATGGTACTGACACGACATGGGTACTGACATAGGTACTGACATGAGTACTAACATGGGTACTGACATGGGTACTGACATGGGTACTGACATGGGTACTGACATGGGTACTGACATGTGTACTGACATGACATGGTACTGACATGTGTAATGACATGGGTACTAACATGGGTATTGACATGACATGGGTACTGACATGACATGGCTACTGACATGGGTATTGACATGACATGGTACTGACATGGGTACTGACAAGGGTACTGATATGCCATGCGTACTGACATGCAAAGAGTAATAACATGGGTACTGACATGGGTACTTACATTTTTACTGACATGGGTACTGACATGGGTACTGACATGGGTACTGACATGGGTACTGACATGGGTACTGACATGGGTACTGACATGGGTACTGACTGACATGGGTACTGACATGGGTATTGACATCTGTACTTAGATTGTTAATGACATGGGTACTGACATGAGTACTGACATGTATTGGGGAATGTAAAATTGACAAGGCCCATCACTCACCACACTATCCCTTTACAGCCGATGTCAAAGAAACAGATTAACTCTACTTCATCTACTCGACGGAGCAACTATTCCAAACATTACATTACTCGTTAAATTTTACTTTTGCTCCTAACCTTGCTGCAGCCAGGCTGGTCCTGAGATGGTGGTTAGCCCTCATCCCTGTACGGTTCTAAAATTATTTCCTACCAGACACGAGCAACACCAGCTGAAATCAAATCCCAGCATTGACACACGGCGTATGATGCTATGTCGAGGTTACATTGTTTATTTCATCCTTACTATGGCGAAAATGATGTGTGTTGACATGACACAGTTTTATTTTCTAGATACCATGACGAAATTACGATGGAAAGTCTACTTAATGCTATATTATGTCGACTTCACAAAAATCCGATTACTTTAGACACGTTATTAAACACATAGCGATTATATAGAACGAGCCAACCCGCTCTTACGCCGCTATTTATTTATTTTTCTACTTTTCAGTAATTCATAATTTGTGAATTCGACACTACCAATGCTGCCACTGAAAATATTTGCTTTAAAACACTAACCTCCCCCCCCCCCCCCCCCCGTGAAAGCAGCCTTCTCTTAGTTACCTCCTCTAAGTTTAAAATCGTTTCAAACTAAATTATCTGCCCTAATAGCCGTCACCAAACTCGGCTCTACGATTGTTTTGTAAACATTTAGTGTGAACCACAGCTCACCTGACCATGTGAGGGGGGTGGGGGATGTGGGGTAGGGGGTGTGGGGTGGGGGGTGGTAGCGATAGAGAGGAAGAGAGGGGACTGCAAGGCGCGCTTGCAGCTTGTTTTCTAACGTCTCCCAGAAGAGAATTATATATATAGATTGTTGTTGTTCGGGAAAATAGACATCACTTCAGCAAACTTTGAATTGAACTGTTAAATGATTATTGATCGTGTTTCAGCATAATGCGAAGGTAGATCTTTACTGATAAAAAAACGTAGGATTTGTAATTATTCTCAATATTTATTATAAATATTTAGAGAATAGCTACAACCAACAGAGCGTCTCTCTCTCTCTCTCTCTGTCTCTGTCTGTTTGTCTCTCTCTCTCTCTCTCTCTCGCTCTCTCTCTCTCTCTCTCTCTCTCTCTTTCTACCTCCTGATAAAGTCGTCTAAGTAATAATATCACATAAAAAATAAAATAAAATTAAGGGAATAGGCTTTTATTATATTCACAAATCACATAAAATCAATAATGAGAAAATCCAATAAAAAGTAAGAAAAAATGCATGTTTGCTGTAGGTAGACTTACTAAAGTTATATGCTGGTATGGCTAAAGATAAAATGTATCCAAGATCTACCTCTGTGCCCAATGTTAGCCCAAGCTAACAAAGGAGAGTGGGTTAAATTTAGATTCCAAAATTTACGCAGCTACACACACACGTGTATAATATTGTGCGTTAAGTAAACAAACGTTCAGGTATTATGCTTTTTACTGTTGTGCTCTTTATCGTAAAAGCTGCCAAGTTTCCATCAATAAAATAAAACGAGCAAATTGCCCTTCACAAACTGGTTTGCCCCACAGGGGAAGTAATTGTGGATACTCGAAAATTAAATTATTGGAGCGTGCTGTTAATGACATAATTGATTACAGTTTACCGCGGTTCTCGACACGCGCAAGCAAAGCTACAGTAATTGATCGCTTTACACATTAAATAAAACGTTTTAAAATGCTCGCTATGTAGAATTTCTAGACTAATTTTAATTTAGTTTGGTCGAGAATTTATTTCTCTGACTCATTTGATTAAATTTAAATTTTCCTCAGCGAAACACACAGCACATTAACATTCGCGAACGGGGGGTATTAAATCGGTTTGTGCATCCTATATTATAGAAATAAATAAAGTGGGTGAATACCTGTTCGCACAATTTAATTACAAATTTAATGTCTACAAAATTAATGACTACATTAAAATAAATTGTAAATTAATTTTATCGCTTCTAGACGTGGTACCAGGCCATGGGGGAACACAATTTTGTTGATTGGATCTCGTCAAAATTTCTTGATGACGTGATTTTGTTTAATTATGTTTTATCGTGCAATAATAAGCAAATACCTTGGTTGAGTTGTAAACTATTTTCATTTTCCACGAAACAACTTTTGTAATTAAGTAATTTTAAAAATGTGGTTGATTAATGTCATTATTTTTGTAGGCCAGCACAATAAACGTAATCTAGTTCATTTCAATTTTAAAAATTTCTTTGTAAAATGTCGGGAAAAATTAAAAACATATTTGAATTGCAAAAAATTTGGTTTTTGTTCGTAAAGCGCTAAGTAATAGTGAGTGCTTAAAATAATGACATAATTATTTCACATGGCAATCTTTAAATTAGGATTTGGTTGAAAAATTCCTACATTTTAGATATTCGTGCATTTATCGAATCTGGCAAGTACAGTGTTAAATAATAAACGTAATCACTTCGGCCGATTAAACATAGTTCCCTCCCTTACACCAATATAAAGACGTACAAATCTAGGCCGACATAAAAATAACTGTAGAATGGAATGAAGAAAACATTCAGAAAATTATATTTTATCTCACGAAAGTGTTAAAAAATCTTATTGTTATTTGAAAACTCAATTTACATTGTGAATTGCGTAAAAAAGGGGAAAAAGCATTCCTATATTTCGACAACTTTAGCGAGATAACCGTTTGAAATTAGTATTTTGCTAATATCCAATTTGAAAAAAAATTGTATATATCAAAGTTAGAATTTTTTTTTACACTGATTTATAAGTCTATAACAAGATCAAGACAGAAAGTTTGTTTAGGTCATGCAAGTGATAATGATTTTGTATATGAAGTCGCATGTCCGTTTCTAAGAAAATAAAGTTCTTAGAAAACCAAAAGCAGTGTTAAAATCTACAATCTTTACAATCTAAACTACCCGGTATGGCAAACACAGCATACGCCATCTTCCTGGAAACCAGCTGCATTCTAGGAATCGTCGGCACCATCATCGGCGTCGGCGCCAACATCATAAACATCATCATCTTCAACAAGCAAGGCTTTAAGGACGCAACCAGCATCACGCTGACCGCCTTGTCGGTGGGCGACATGGGGATGTTACTGACTGGGTTGGTGTACAACCTGCTCATTAACCCCTGGTTGGCCATGGCTGACGTCACCAACGAGCTGGACTACGTACTGGACCTACTGTCCCTGTTCCCCCAGTACTACTTCACCAAAGTCTGCGGGGTTGTCGCCGCCTTCTCGGCGTTAGAAAAATGCATGTGCGTTGTGTTTCCTTTACACGTGAAACAGTTCATCACGCGTCGAATCGCCATCACTGTAAACATCGGCGCCTACATCTTCATGCTTTCCGGGATTATCCCATTGTATAACAATCTATATTTAGAATGGGAATTCTCCCCTTTTAGAAATAGATCTCTGATAACACTCGAGGTCCGTGATTTCGCTCACATAGACGAATTCATAACCCTCATCTACTCAACAGATCTAAGTATTTTATATCTGAGTTTACTTTGTATTTTTACATGTAACATCATCATCGCCGTCAAACTAAGACTACAATCCAAATGGAAAAGATCGTTCCGTTCTACGGGTCAGCATTTCATCAGAGCCGACTCTAAGCAGAAGAAGAAGATTCTGATGATGCTCTTCACGACCTCCATCTTCTTCCTGTTCTGTCTCTTCCCCAAGTCGGCCGCCTACACCAGCATTTTCATGACAGCCAACTACCGCAGCAAGGACGTCGCTGTGGCCTTCTACCTCGTGTCGTCCTTGACAGAGTCAGCCAATTCAAGCCTGACCAGCCTGTTCTACTACTCCATGAGCTCCAACTACAAGAAGTCTCTGCTGGAAGTCTTCAGCTGCTTCAGGGGAAGCTCGCTGGGAACACAGGAGAAAAACCAGTGCTAGTTACTTTTTTTGGTGGCTATTTTTTTAATAAGTAAACAATAAATGTAATATTATAAAAGACATTTACAACGTGTTATTGTAATAGAAATGTGTTTTAAATCTGCCATAAACTTTGGCATAAACAATTGATACTTTGATCTATAGAGTAGAGCCATCTCTCTCTATTTGAATCTCTCTACAATACGTGGGTGGGATGACACAAGTTAGACTAGTAAGAAATAGATTCACAGACGGTGAAAATGTACAATAGCCAGGGGTCACCCAGACGAGTGAGTTAGATTTCCTAGAATGGATAGGAGCCAATGAGAAGTGACCGATCACGTGTGGCAGTCAGCTGACCCATACAGTGTTAGTAGTTAGCAGTTGGTCACTCTACGAGTTGGACGTAGATATGGCAGTTAGCTAAATTAGAGATAATTAGAAGTTAAACATATATATTGTTAGGGCTAGGAGATTATTGAAATAGTTGAAGTAAAGTGTACGACACTGTAGCTAAGCAGCTACGGTTACGAATAGATTTATTGTGTACATGTTAATAAACATTGAAACTGTACAAACAGTAAAAAGCTGTTAAATAATGTCTATGCTTGAAACACTGAATACCAGTGATCATAATCTACATTTCCCTCGTATGGTAGAGAGTATAACATTTGCGCTAAGCCACTGTGCTTCTCTGTATAAACCGTATACATAATAATGTGTATAATATGTATATTTGTAATCTGGTGTTATTTCAGACTAAGCAACGAGGCTAGTAAAACGATGAGGTTAAACTTGATCTTTAAGTCTAACTTAGTGTTCTCGAAGAAAATAAATGTATTTTAGTTTAGTGATTCCATTAAATACGTGTTCGACAGTTTTAGATAGCGATTGTGTACCTATACACAGTGAGTTCCATTAGAAATGTTAATGGGAGATTACTGACACTAATATCATGCTAGTAAAATAGCGGTGACGTAACATATCTCAATTTAAATATGCAAATTTAACAACATTTAGTTTTTAATAACATAATTTTAGATCCCCAAAATGTAGAATATAGTTTAGTGACAAATTTAAATATATAGTAAACGTCGTAAGCGTAACATTGAATCATGTCTTTGGCAACTTATTACCTATGAAGATAATCAGATAATCTATAACAGATTGCGTTTGAATCACATCTAATCGAGTCAAATGTATCATTACTGCTGTGAGACTAAAGCATAGATTTATAAAAAAACATACATAATATATCTGAAAGATGCTCACACCATGAAATTTAAGTACAATTATTAAATGTAATGTAATTCTAAACCATTAAATACATCATTACTACTATAATAATCTATTTCTAAAAGCGAAAACGCAAACGTATTTTTTTATATTTTCCAAACATCAAAAAACACACTGATATTACATCGTTAATAAGGGTTATTAACAACATAATTGAGATGATTTACCCTTGTAAAGAGTAATCAAAGAACGAGTAAATGCTACCCTCTAGGGTTTGTGTTTAAGCTAATATAAATCCATTATTCATGCTTTGTCTGACTACCTACGGCTGGTGCAATTATGTTCATTATTTAGATAACAAGTTACATTTTTACCAAGTTAACACGGGTTGTTGGGACTGGATAAATCAAATAAAATCTTGTAACGAAAACATTCAACGATATTGTTGGCAGTAGCCTACTCACAAAAAGTACAGACAATACAATATGGTGACCAATGCAACAATTGTACAGATTTTTCTTTACTAAACATACACAAGTATTTTTGAATAATGTCGGATTATTCAACTGAATTTACAAGTTCAATAATTGATAGCAGTATACCCGTTCAAACAACGATAAGCACACGGGACATAAATCTGGTTGTAAAACCTATAGTTCTAGACTTCTTCTTGACCTTTAACCTGTTCGTCAGTGGAATCATCGGAATACTGGGGATCTCCGGAAACATCATCAACATCATCGTCTTTTACAAGCAGGGCTATGAGGACAGCGTCAATATAACTTTAACTGCTCTGGCTGTCAGTGATATCGGGGCGTTGGTCACTGTGTTGATGTTCAATGTGATGGAAAACCCCTGGTTTCTTTCAGCTGATCTTCCCATATCACAAACGGATGTGTCTTTCATTTTGGCTTTTTACCCACACAATTATTTCATCCGTGTGTGTGGGTTCATCACAGCCTTCGCGTCGTGTGAGAGATGTCTGTGTGTTTTGGTGCCCCTTAAAGTCAAACAAATTGTCACCAAAAAAGTCTCTCTTCTGGTCAACTTGTTTATATTTATCATCTTACTTCTAGACCTGTTCCCCGTCTACTACATCGTATATTTAGACTGGGTATTTTTTCCTCAGTTAAATAGATCGGTGATTGCCGTAAACGCTAGACAAAATCCGTACAACGTTTTTGGCATTTCATATTTCGTTTCGGATCTTTTTGTTCCGTATTTTACTTTTTTCATCATCATAGTCTGTAATGCAATCATTGGTATAAAATTAAACACTCGATCAAAATGGATCAACTCTATCTCCATCAGCCATTCAAGCGAAGACAACACCGTGTCTAACAAAGAGAAGTTCGTGTCTAACAAAGAGAAAAAAGTTGTCCTGATGTTGACTGTCGTCTCTGTCATCTTCATCGTCTGCCTCATTCCTCAGTCAGGTATACTGACAGCTGTCAGTCAGGTGTCAGGGTTGATGGTGGGGGGCGTGTACTACAAGATCTCGCTCATCATTTACAGCATCTCCTACGTCACAGAGACCGTTAGTTCTAGCGTCAACATTGTAGTCTACTACAAGATGAGCAGCAGGTACAAGAACACTCTCCGTAGTATTTTCTTCTAATGTTTACAATAATTTGTTAGGTCTTTTCACACATTTCTTTGAAATATAACACTTATAACAGTAAAACCAATAATCGCGGTCTCACCACACCAAAGTACACAGTTAAATATTAGGCTGTTGTTTTTTTATTTCCAAATTGTTTTAACGATCGAGTTCACATGATATATATTTGAGGTATGTTTATATTTATGCAAATTACAATGCCTGTAAATTGTTTTCGAATTTATGTCTTGATTTGTATATTTAAAATCGGTTTGGCAGAATTACCAATTTAAAACAAATTAACTTCATACCCAGTAAAGTAAGGTGGATATACTTTTTTATATCATGTTGTCAATATGGTGTAGAGAGTAGAGTTCACCCGTTTTTCTGATATAAACATCTGAACAGAATTGTGGACAGTCCAATGTCCTTGCAATCTTTTGTTTCCATACCGTGAGCGTTCAGGTGTATTGGATAAAACAGTAAAATCACAGCAGTAAATGAACACATTCATACTTCATTAGCTACCATATTGTGTAATATAGAAATTTCCGTGAATGTGGGCGGTATATCGGTCTCAAGCCTCTTAAGCAGTTGATGCGCATGCGCAGATGTACGTTGTGCGCCGTTGTATACGACAGTAAACTAGAACACTCATCCACTTCAGAGTGTCCAACTTATGTAAGCCTTTACACAACAGAGCGCTTGAAGGTATTTATTTATTTTAGTTTATTCAGTAGCAACTTTTAACGATAGTCTACTGCCATATTTTTAATTGATATATTACGTTGTCTCGTTAACATTCGGCTCCTTTTTAAAGTGTAAACTTTAAACAAGTGGTAGAAGAACTAGTGGAAAGTAGCATTTTCTATTTGTTTAAAAATCATGCGTATTCTTACGTATCAGATTCTTGTTAAATTGGAAAATGTTTTTAAGAAATCAAAAGCTCATATATTTATAATTTAAAAAAAAAAAAAATTTCTGTTTCACAATATTCAGGATTCCCAGACACTACAGGTGTTTTCGAGAATTTTTATTTTTTTCTACTAGTATAGTTTTAACATGCAAAACTTACTGCGTGTTGTGAAATCTAGTCATAATTCTTCTTGTGTTTTTGCATTCGAATATGTCATTTCATTTTGGTACAGCCGGAAATAATTTTTACTGGTTGTGTAATAGATCATTTTTCTCTACACAGATTCGTATTTAATATTATACACATAGTTCTGATTGTCTGATCTCGAGTTTTAGGCAAATCAATAAATAAATCAATACTTAAACTTGTTAACGTTGGTCAATTTTAGTAATTTATAAAAAGCATTATCATCTTTTCATAGACCCACGGGTCCGCAAGCTAAAGCTCCCTCCACTTTGTCGGTCAATATAAATAGTCCTGTCTCTGACAGCTGCTTCTCCACCATGCGCCTCCATGTCTTATTTGTCATTTCCTGCTTGATTTTTCCCTGAAGCGTCAAGTTCAACGCCATTCCTGACACGTCGTCTAAATTCATTCTTAGGGCGTGCCCCATCCGTTACCATCTTATTTTTCCGATTACTTTTGAAACGGTCTCTATTTCCATCCCTCCTAGTAGTTTATCTGCCTATCAAAACTTACGTTTAATCTCACGAATATTATATTTATAATTCCAATTTTAATATGTTTAATGTAATGTGACAAACCTATGCGACAAACTTTCTTTTTTACAGTTATTATGAATGTGTAAGAAAAAACAAGTGTATAAAAACCAAATAACAATCATATTTTTAATATGTTAAAATCGATTGAAATTATATATATATGTATATATATATATATATATATATATATGTGTGTGTGTGTGTGTGTGTATAGCTGTATTTGTGATTGTATTTGTAATTTGTATATGTTATATTTTATTTGAAGTTTAGCGTAGTGTGTAGTTTCTTGTATAACGGTATGTATAATTGTTTGTTTAATTGAATTTGAAGTTCTCTATTTGAGACTGCATGAAGATGTAGCCTATTCATGCAAGCTCGTTTATACATACAGCTCTAATCATAGTACCTATTTATATAGATATATGCCAATATTATATACGAAATAAATGGCCCCTTGAGGAAGGATACAACGGGTGCTAGGTTGATAGTGTTGTCTATTTCTCTAAAGCAAAACCAAAAACAAAATTACCACCTCAAACTTCAAATTTAACCGCAAACGAAAACTATCATTAAAAACGGATTTCTGACCAGAATCTGCATTTTAACAGGAATTAAGCTTGATCTACGCGTAGTTACTGCATATTGATACTAAACATAGTCAAAGTCATATCCTTAAACCCTGTACCTAATCTCAAACACGACATAGGCCACATTTAGGGGTGGGGTCCGCAACGCGCACCCCCCTCCCCCCCCCCCACACACACACCATAAAATACGTCTACCCGCAATACAACGAAATATAATTTTTGTAGAAAACATATTTTCACCAGTGTCCGCCACCTTCCAAAAAATTTAGTCCACCCTCACCCCCGAAAATTTCAAGTAACCCCCCCCCCCTCCGGGGAGGAATAACTCTGAATGAAACACTGGTCATACAAACTAAAGGTAGACCCTACTTCTATAATATAGACCTGTTTCCTACTTTCAGCCGATAAATTTCACTCTTCCAGGCAGTGTTAGTTTCAGGCTTTTTTTCCGGGGGTAGGGCACTTTAATTTTTGCAGGGGCGATAAATCTCGCCGGGTCGGGGGAGGCCGACACTGTTAAAAGTATATATTTTCTATATAAATTTTATTACGTTTTTTTTATTTGGGTGGGGGCAAGGGGGGGGGGGGGAATTCGACGTTCTATCGTGGGGAGGGGGGATTAGACGTTCTAAAGTGAGAGGGGGGAAGGGGCTTCGGGAAGGGGTTTCGCCCCTACCTAAAGAGATGCATGAAAGAAACTCTTCACGCAAAACACTTATAACATTAGACAAATAATTTAGGCCGTAATGTCAGTATTTTATTATGGAGTATCGATACTCTTTTCTTTTTTTTGGGTGGGGGGAGGCGGCTTGGACGTTCTTCCGGGGGGTGGGGCTTCGCCCCTACCCGAAGAGATGCATGAAATCAACTCTTCACGCAAAAAAACTTTTAAGATTATACACATTAATTATATATGTTCTTTATAAGTAATGTTTCGTTTGGGGGTGGGCGGGATTTGATGTTCTGTCGGGGGGGGGGGGGGTGGTATAGGGGCTTAGCCCCTACCAGAAGAGATTCATGAAAGAGACATTGCAAGCAAACCGTTTTTAAGATTAGACACATGAATTAGGCGGTAATGTCAGTAGGCCAATACCATTTTTAAGATTAGAAAAAATTGGCTTTTTAGTTCAATGTTTACTCGAGAATCAATGACGTTATATTATTGTGTGCACTCCGCCGGCTTTAGACTATTTCCTACTATATGCTCCATGTGCCGGCAGGTTTCCTTTTCGTTTCACTATGAACATTTTTATTCTGCTTGTGTTTTCGCTATAGCCGGCTTTAGACTATTGTTAAAAGCTTTTATTTATCTCACTTCCTCTGTCTGTCTGTCGTCAGTCTAGATCGAAACGCCGGAGCGAAAATTCGGGCACTTCCAACTGACAGATACGGTTCGTAATTGGTAAGTGGGTCAAGACATGAAGACAATGCAATCTGAACTGAAATTTGACTTAATTGGATGCCTAATTATTTTTTTATGAATTAAATTAAATTTGGACCGAATTAGTAGGCAGTTCTATCCACACGCGTTGTCACGGCCATGTTAGGCGTGGAGCGAGGCGGGCTCTACGTCAAAAAAGCGTCATCACGTTCAATAGGCGCGTGTTGGTTTTTAGTCGGGTCAGCATTCTAGTTCTTTACCACTAGACTACGCCATCCCATAATATTTTACTAAAACTTTAGTTAAAAACTTGACAATGGTTTTTAGTCATGAAACTATTGTAAATAAATCATGTAAAGAAAAGAAATACATTAAAAAATGATTTTATGTAATAATGCACTAAAAAGTAGAAAGTAAATTTTAAACTACTATTTAAATTACTATAAAGAAAAGCGTGGGTCACTTTAGCATCAATTAGATACCTTTACTAATATTTAAGAAGAGACACACGCTTTTTTCTACTATATGCTCCAAGTGAAGTCACGTTTCATTTTCGTTTTTTGCTGTGAAAGTTTTTACTCTGCTTGTGTTTTCTCTATAGCGTTCTTGTCAGATAGATAGATAGATACACAGATACATACACAGACAGTGAAACTTATATATTTATATATATATATATATATATATATATATATATATATATATATATATATATATATATATATATATATATATATATATATGAGTGTGTGTGTGCGCTTGTGGTTTTTGTGTGTGTTCGCGAGTAAGTAGGCCAACACATAACTTGCTACCCTCACTTCAACGTCGCCACTTACAGTACTTATGCATGTTCTTCACAAAGACTTTTTAAAGCCACTCGAGAGAGGAATGCTTGGAGATTTTGAACCTGGCCAGAAATATTTTCAAACAGCACTTTTCTCACGCCCAACCGTGCACACTTAGAGTCAGCTTTTGTTTTGAGAGATAACGTATTTTCAGTATTTTTTTTAATCAAAAGTCTAATCTTGTTTCCTGTACATAAAGCACGTAGCTTCTCTTAAACACTTGTCGAAAATAACCTTCATTTGTACTCAGAGGCGTAGCGAAGTGGGGGGGAGGACAGGGGGGGTGGGGGGCGGCCCGCACCGCGTGACACCTTTTAGGGGGGTGACACCAAGGCAAAAAATAGCAAAATATATAGAGAAAAATCGAACGTTTGAGGAGGGGGGGGGGGTGCAAATCGAAAATTTAAAGTTTGTCCCCGGGAAAGATTGCTACTGGGAGGTTACACCATTAAGTGCCAACCGGGTGACGCCCGTCCTCGCTACTCCACGGGTTGTACTTATTTCAATAGTTGACTGCCTTGATTTGGCAACAGGCAGAAGAAAAATATAGTGTTTTTTAGGCTTGAC